CAGAGGCGCTTCCCCAGCCTCTGTGCCAAGGGTATTTTTGGGGAAGGAAAAGATTGTCATGGGGCTTTTTTGCAGAATGGAGGAAAAATAGAGGTGCAAATTATTAAAAAAAAAAAAAAAAATAGTGACAGGAATAGATGTGAAGTGGGGATGGGGCTCCCTGCCAGCAGAGAAGATGTGCTCACAGCACCCGCCCAGCAGGGATCCAGGAATCTCCTCCACAAGGCACTGACCCCACACCCAGGTCTCCAGGGCAGGGACGTCTCCAGGTGACCCCAAGCCAGGTCCTGGTGTGTGCACAGGGTTCTCCTCTGGGCCTGGCAGGCCAGAGCAAGGAGCAGGGGCCTCCCAGCATGTCAGAGCCCAGGACATCCCTCTGGCTGCCCTGGATGGCTCCAGACCCTGCCAGCGGGCTCAGAGACCTTGGCACAGAGTCACAGCACCCCAGTGTGCCCATTCCCCCTGCGAGGGATTCATTGGGAGCATCTGGCTGTGGGATTTGGGGCGTCCGTGGTGTGTGGGCTCCCCAGCTGGAGCCACTCGGGCACAGTCCAGAGCAGGGCCCTGCCCGTGGCTGGGGGAGCAGGAGGAGCTGTCAGGTCCCTCCCAGCCCGAACCATTCCCTGATTCCACTGCTCTCCTGTCCCCAGCTGCCCCTTTGCTGCCTGCCCTCACACCCTGCAGGGGAAGGAAGGGGAAAGCTGCAGGTGTGTCCCTGTTTGGGTCTGTGCACCCCTGGCACTGTAGGGCTGTGTGACGGTGTTCACAGGGGTCCCAGAATGAGGGAAGAGACCAGAATGTTGACTCCATGTTTCAGAAGGCTTGATTTATTATTTTATAATATATATTACATTAAAACTATACTAAAAGAACAGAAGAAAGGATTTCATCAGAAGGCTAGCTAAGAATAGAAAAAGAAAGAATTATAACAAAGGCTTGTGTCTCGGCTCTCTGTCCGAGCCAGCTGACTGTGATTGGCCATTAATCAGAAACAACCACGAGACCAATCCCAGATGCACCTGTTGCATTCCACAGCAGCAGATAACCATTGTTTGCATTTTGTTCCTGAGGCCTCCCAGCTTCTCAGGAGGAAAAATCCCAAGGAAAGGATTTTCATAAAAGATGTCTGTGACACAGGAGAGGTGCTGAAAGGGCTCAAGCCTCCAATGCAGAACGTGACTTTGGGCTTGTAAGGAAAAAAATGAAAGTGAGATATAAAATGCCCCTCAAGCTGGCACTAAGGAGCTCCTGACCTGCCTCCTGCTCTTTTTAGGGGCTGCTGTGGGAGAAGTTGAACTTTTCCAGCCCCCAGCATCCAAGGAAGCCACACTCGATCTCTCAGTGTAGACAGGGAACTGGGCATTGTTTAGTGGAGGGCTGAACCCCTCAGCATGCCATGAGAAATGGATCTGGTGCATTTTCAACTGCCCCATGTCTCAGACAGAGCCCCAGACATCTGTGCCTCACTCCTCACTCCAGCAGCTCAGTAATCAGCTTGATAAGTTAAATTAGCAGACAGCTTTCCAGCGTGCTCTAATGGCCTTCAGCATGAAAATACAGATTTAAGTGTTTGAATCTGAGAGTGCAAACTCAGACCAGCACGGCATCCTCATCCTCTGCAGCACCCCAAAAACAAGCAGGTGATTTATGCCCCCAGCCCGGGCGCTGCTGTGCTGGGAGCAGAGATCCTCAGGCATGGGCAGCTCCTGCCCTGGGCAGCCCCAGCCCTCACAGCCAGAGCCAGTGGGGCCAGAGCAGCCGGGGCACTGTGAAAAACGCCAATCACTTGGTTTTAACGTTTTAAAGTTTAATAGTAATAAAATGGTTATAAAAATAGCAATATAATCAGAGGAATAATAATTTGGACAATTTGGATTAGGACAATATGAGACCATAAAAACAAAGAGTTACAGACAGTCTGGGTACCTTTTCTGGGCAAAATAAGCCCGAAAAAGGCCCCACGTTAACAGAGGATTAATCCTTAAAAACAATAACCTGTTGCATATTCATACACCTCATCCATGATGCATAAATTCCATTCAAACACAGGATTCTGGCTGGGCAGTGTCAGCTCCTTCCTCTGAATCCTGATGGGCGTCTCCAGGGCGGAGCAAAGCAGGAAGAAGTTCATTTCTCCTGATAATGGAGCAATAAATTCTCTTTCTCTGAAAGATTCAGGTGTCCTGTGGCTGCTATCTGGTGTGAGTCCTTTTTTAGGAAAAAAGTATCTTACATAGCATAGTTTCTATTTTAACATTTTTGTTATAACCTAAAACTGTATTTGACACACTACGTAATTAATACAGCATAACTTTCTAACACAACACATCTAATATTCATTTTAATATTTGCCAAAAGCCAATCATAAAATAGGCATTTTTCACAGCCACAGCTGGGGCTCCGTGAGCCTGGGGGGCTTTTCCAGCCTCAGTGGCTCTGGGATTGGGGTCACTGCAAGAGCCTCACGCTCCCTTCTCCACGCGCTTGGCAAGAGTCAGGCTTTGACAAGAGCTTGACCAGAGTCAGGTTTTCCATGGCAGAACTTTGTGCAGAGAGGGCTGGGGAGGCCTGAGGAGAAGGAGAGGGGTGCCCTGTGTGCACAGCAGCCCTCAGCTGGGCAAAGAGAGGTGCAGGGGATGCCCTGTGAGGCTGAGCCGGAGCAGAGGCTGGGCAGAGCTCCAGAATAAAGCAGGGATTCATTCAAAGCATCTCCTCCATGGATGCACCTTGGGCAGCACCAGAGCCCAGCCAGGGCTGCACCCAAGATGAACCAAAATGGCCCCAAAATGCACGGCCGGGCACGGGGTCTGTCCCTGGGATCAGTTCTGCTCCATTTGCACCTTGCAGTTCATTGTCCCATTCCAGCTTTAGCCCAGGCAGTCCCACCCTGCTTGTTTTTCTCTCTGCAGCCCACGGGGTTTGTGCTCCTGGGCTGAGATTTGGGTCATTTGTCCTTGGTGCCCAGCTGGAGCAGGAATTGTTTTGTGTCCCTGCTCTGGGCACAGAGCTCACCATCCCACAATGTGAACCCAGAGCCACACACCAAAGCAGCACAGAATGTGAAAAATAGAAAAGCTCAAACCTGAGGCATCAGAGGCAGATGCCATGCAAACACTGCAAACAAACTCAAAGAGCAGGAGGGTCTGGTCTCTGGGTCACTGTGCAGGCAGTGAGATCCTGCACTCACCCCAAGGCGGGTGAGACTCAGGGGCAGGAGAGAAGCTCAGCAGCAGCTCAGGAATGTGATTGCTGCAGTGTGTGGGTCTCTGCTGCAGAGAATTGGGGCTGGAAGGGCACTGACAGAGGGGAGGAGGCACGGGGGTGGAACAATGAGGCAAATCAGCTCTGACAGGTCCCTCTGGGGCCTCCAACCTTCCTTCCTCCAAAGCCACCGAGGGATCAGGAACCTTTTCACATCCCCGTGCTGTTTCTGAGGGGTTTGCAGCTCTGCTGTGTTGCCATGACACCAGAGAGTGGCAGTGGGGGGGGAGAAGGTTGGGATGCTGCAGGTGCCCTCCCTGCAGCCTCACCTGCTGCTCTGGCCAGGGGCATTGAGAGCATCCCAGCAAAGCTGCAAGGATCCCTCTGTGCCACAGGCAAGGAGAGTTTCTGTCCAAATATCCCCGAGGCATGACACAGCATCAAAAGCTGAAACAGGCGCTGCAGGAGCAGAGATTCTCTGGGCAGGCGGGAATTTCCACTCAGTTCCTGGAGAAAACAACATCTTTATTTACCTCCCAAGGCCACGAGGCGTGTTTTAACCATCAGAGCAGTGCGGTGGCAGTGCCCTCCTGCAGCAGTGCCAAACACAGCGCGCACATCCCAGGGCAGCTGGTGCTGGCATTGCACTCCAGCCCCACCAGCTCAGCTCCTGAAATGCCCCTGAGCTGCCACTCCTGGCAGAATTCCCCTGAGAGGTGTAAATTCCTGCTATAAATACGTGAAAACAACCCGGCAGGGGCAGCACAGAGCTGCCTAAGGAGTATTTCTGGCTTGTGCTAAGGAGTGAACTGGGGACTTTCTCTGCTCCAGCAATTTTGATAAGTGTTGGGATAAGGCCAAGATAAAAATAATTACATGTGATAGTCCCCTGGTTCACCTGCTCCTGACTAACCTTTGAATAAAAATTCTCTAAAAGATGCTGGGAGTTGCAGTCGGCACAGATTTGCTTCAGGTGTGATTTAGAAAGGGTGGAACACTCCTGAGTCCCTCTGAATGCAGCTCAGGAATGGTGGGACGTTCAGCCCAGCAGGATGATGGATTGTGCTCCCACAGCATCACAAAGCTGTGGTGAATGAGCTGCACATGCTGCTGCCTGGGGCAGAAAGGAAGGGAACGTCCACAACAGCAGCAGAGAGTAATCACTGAGCAGAACTCAGGAGAGCAGGATTGCTCTGTGGCAAAATGGGTAGGGAAATGCACTGGGAAAGTGTTAAATTATAGAAATCACAGCTGTGGGAGATGGCACCTGTCCTCCTGGAGCCCCCCATGAAAATGCCAGACTGGTTTGGGTTGGAGTGACCTCACAGCCCACCCAGTGCCACCCCTGCCATGGCAGGGACACCTCCCACTGTCCCCAGTGCCCAGCCTGGCCTCGGGCACTGCCAGGGATGCAGGGGCAGCCCCAGCTGCTCTGGGCACCCTGTGCCAGGGCCTGCCCACCCTGCCAGGGAACAATTCCTCATGGCCAAGATCCCACCCAGCCCTGCCCTCTGGCACTGGCAGCCATTCCCTGGGTGCTGTCCCTGCAGGCCTTGTCCCCAGTCCCTCTGCAGCATCTTCTGAGCCCTGCAGGGTTTGGGGACCCTGGGCTATCCCAGCCCCAGCCTGGGGGTCACTGGTGGGTGACCGTGCAGTCCTAGCCCAGCCCAGCCCCTCCCTTCCCAGCACAGACACACGGACACTGCACAGGATCCGATGGACAAGTTTATTGGAGGGTTCATTGGAGGGTTTATGAGAGGGTTTATCGGGGTCAGGGGCTCCTGCTCTCCCCAGGCTGGTCAGTGGTACTTGTGGGCCAGGGCGTGGGCCACCACACCCACGAGCTTCTGCCAGGCAGCCTGGCACACAGGGCTGAAATCCCTGCCCAGGTGGGACGCCAGGACGATGACCAGGATGTCCCCAAGGAGCTGAGGAGAGAGGGACAGCTGAGTCAGTGCTGTGGGAGCTGCTGGTCAGCCAGAGCTGCTGGTCAGCCCCTGCCCAGCCCCAGCCCCTGCTCAGTCCCTGCCCAGCCCCTGCCCCTGCCCAGCCCCTGCCCAGCCCCAGCCCCAGCCCCTGCCCAGCCCCTGCCCAGCCCCAGCCCCAGCCCCAGCCCCTGCCCCTGCCCAGCCCCTGCCCCTGCCCAGCCCCAGCCCCTGCCCAGCCCCTGCCCAGCCCCAGCCCCAGCCCCTGCCCAGCCCCTGCCCCTGCCCCTGCCCAGCCCCTGCCCCTGCCCCTGCCCAGCCCCAGCCCAGCCCCAGCCCCTGCCCAGCCCCAGCCCAGCCCAGCCCCTGCCCCAGCCCCAGCCCCTGCCCAGCCCCAGCCCAGCCCAGCCCCTGCCCAGCCCCAGCCCCTGCTCAGTCCCTGCCCAGCCCCAGCCCAGCCCCAGCCCCAGCCCCTGCCCAGCCCCAGCCCCTGCCCAGCCCCTGCCCAGCCCCTGCCCCTGCCCAGCCCCAGCCCCAGCCCCTGCCCAGCCCCTGCCCAGCCCCAGCCCCAGCCCCAGCCCCTGCCCCTGCCCAGCCCCTGCCCCTGCCCAGCCCCAGCCCCTGCCCAGCCCCTGCCCAGCCCCAGCCCCAGCCCCTGCCCAGCCCCTGCCCCTGCCCCTGCCCAGCCCCTGCCCCTGCCCCTGCCCAGCCCCAGCCCAGCCCCAGCCCCTGCCCAGCCCCAGCCCAGCCCAGCCCCTGCCCCAGCCCCAGCCCCTGCCCCAGCCCCAGCCCCTGCCCAGCCCCTGCCCAGCCCCTGCCCAGCCCCTGCCCAGCCCCAGCCCCAGCCCCTGCCCAGCCCCTGCCCCTGCCCCTGCCCAGCCCCAGCCCAGCCCCAGCCCCAGCCCCTGCCCCAGCCCCTGCCCAGCCCCTGCCCCTGCCCAGCCCCTGCCCAGCCCCTGCCCAGCCCCTGCCCAGCCCCTGCCCAGCCCAGCCCCAGCCCCTGCCCAGCCCCAGCCCCTGCCCCTGCCAAGCCCCAGCCCCTGCCCAGCCCCAGCCCCTGCCCAGCCCCAGCCCAGCCCCAGCCCCTGCCCAGCCCCAGCCCCTGCCCCTGCCCAGCCCCAGCCCCAGCCCAGCCCCAGCCCCTGCCCAGCCCCAGCCCCTGCCCCTGCTCAGCCCCAGCCCAGCCCCAGCCCCAGAGCAGAGGCAGCAGCTCGGGCTGTCCCGGCTGGGGCTGACCTGCCAGTCCCGCTGCCACCAAGGCTCTGCTGGCACTGGAACCCCCTCAGCAGCAGCAGCTCCTCCTTTGTGTCTCCCTGGTGTTTCTGTGCAGATTTTCCCCCTCCGCAGTCCTTGTCTCCCCCAGACCCCTCCTGCAGCCCTGTTTTCCTCCCCCAGCTTCTCCCTGAGGCAGAATTGCCCTCCTGAAGGGCTCCCACATCCTGCACACTCCTCCTCCTCCTCCTCTTCCTCCCCAGCCCTGGCTAGGGGCATGGCTCACTCCCTGCTCCCTGCCACAGCAGAGACCTCAGTCTTCCCACAGACAGCTCTGGGTTTTGGGAAAACAGTATTTGTTTCATTCAATAAAATAAAATAAAATAAAATATAAAATAAAATAAAATAAAATAAAATAAAATAAAATATAAAATAAATAACAGAAAGAAAGAACCTCAAACTAGTTTCCGATTTTTGGAATGCTGAAGCATTTGGATTTGACCTGAAACCCACCCTGAAAAACACAATGTTTTTTTCCTTTTTTTCTTTAGACATAAAAGAAAAGAATGATCCTTTTTAAATTGGAAGTGTTGGAGGAGGAGGAGGGAGTGTGCCATGCCCCGTGCTGGGCAAGGCAGGACCCTGCTGCTTGGTTCTGCCTGTCTTGCTGTGGAACTTGGATTTCCTGAAATGCTCCGCTGAGCTTCCCTCTGCTCTGAGCCAGGTTATCCTGCACCTTCCCCTGGGGCTGTTCCCCACCAGACCTCCTCAGGTAACCATCTCTCCTGCAGATAACACCAGCCAGCCTCCTTCAGGCGTTCCCTCCATACCTGCCCCTCCCTTGTGCTGTGCTGGCACTAAAGATGGGACTTTTGAGGGAGAAAGTCACAGACACCATTGTAAAACCCTTGTACCAACCATGACCTCTCTCCACAGGGATTGTTCCCCAGCAGCCCCAGGAATGTCCCTGGGCAGAGCAGCCGGGCCTGGCTGGGCCTGCAAGCACAGCTCACCCTGAAGTTCTCGGGGTCCACGTGCAGCTTGTCACAGTGCAGCTCGGACAGCTTGGAGTAGGTGCCCTTGAGGTTGTCCAGGTTCTTGATGGCCTCCCCGAAGGAGGTCAGCACCTTCTTGCCGTGGGCACGCACCTTGGGGTTGCCGACGATGGCCGTGGGGCTGGACAGGTTGCCGAAGTCAGAGAAGAACCTCTGGGTCCAGGGGTAGACGATCAGCAGCCTGGGGAGAGACGCGGGCAGGTGAGGCTGCCGGAGCCGGGGCTGCCCCGCGGCGCAGGGCCCCGAGCGGCTGCACCCACCTGGCCAGGGCCTCGGCGCCGCATTCCTCCACATTGACCTTGGCCCACACGCCGCTGATGAGCTGCTTCTCCTCGGCCGACCAGTGCACCATGGTGGCTGCAGGGGCACGCTGGGCTGAGCCGAGCCCCAGCCCGGGCCGGGTTTTATGGCCTGGGCCAGCCCCGGGCCGGCCCCTGCAGCGGGGCCATTGGCTGGGACGGCCGGGGGTCCCCAACGGGGTCCCCTGCAGTGGTCACTCTGCACTGAGGTGTGGTCATTGAGGAGAGCCTGTGAGCCCCTTAACAGGCCAGGCCAGGACACAGAACCTCTTATCTCTCTCTGAGAGCCCTGGCTGCTCTTCACCACAGGCATGGACATTGCACCCATCCCTGAGCAGGCACAGACCCCTCTGAGAGGTGCCTCTGGTTATCCTGAGCACCAGAGCTCTATCCCATCTCTATGGGGCAGCTCCTTCCCCTTCCAGCGTGGCCATGCAGAGCAGGGGCTGCAGGAGCCCCAGCAGTGCTCCATCCCCCCTGGCCATGGGCAGGGGCTCAGGGCTGGCTCCTGTGAGCTCATGCCCCAGCTCTCTGCACACTGGGCTCTGCCTGGCATCAGTGAGGTGCTGAATGCTCCAAATGCAGGCCCACGCAGTGGGGTTTGCCACCAGCAAACCCTGCAGGTCCTGCCCTGCCCAAGGCCTTGGGTGTCCTTGCACCACCTGGAGCTCTGCTGGAGCTGCTCAGAGGATGCTCAGGCTCTGCTGCCAAATCTGCATTAACCCCAATATCCTTCTCCTGTAACAGAACTTGACCTCTGATTTATTTGTGTCTTTCGGAGCAGGAGGAATTTTAGTTGGACTTCGGTGTCCAACTTCTGAGCCGGACATCAATGATCATGGTAGGTCCTTTCCAATTGGAGATATTCTAAGGCAGAGTGTCAGAATGTTTGTGTTGGAAGGACCATGAGCTCACCCATGCTGCCTGAGGCCCACCCAGACATTGTCCCCTCAGCTGTGCCAGGATAAGCTCCCTGCAGGGACCAAGCAGCATCACCCGTTCCTGCCTTCAGCCACATCCCTGAGGAGCCCTGAAACAGCCTTGGAACACGGGTTTGCTGCTGCAGGTTCTGCTGTGGGCCCTAAAACCCGCACAGGCTCAGCTCAGGGACGTCCAGGAGGTGGGGGAGCCCCAGTTCCCCATGCCCATTTCAGCCAGGCCAGGCTCTCCTGGGGGAGAGGTTTGGATTGCCCTGGCACACCCTGGAGCTGCCAGGGGTGCAGCCCCCTCACCAAGAGCAGTGCCCCGGGGAGATTTCCTCTCTTGTTTTCTGCACAAAGCCCCAGGAAACACCATTCTTGCCAAAATCAGCACAGGGCTTTGATGCCAAGGTGCCAGGGTCAGTGCACGGTTCTCCTGCTGTTTCCCAGACGGTCTGGCTGGGCTGAGGAAGAGCTGCTGGGTCCTGCAGACTGGGGATGGTGGGTGAGGGCATGACCAGGCTGCAGCAGAGCTGCAGGGCTGACCAAGCTCCTCTCTCACATCAGCACTTCCTCCAGGGACCATCTCCTGCTCAGTGTCTTTTGCACTGAAAATGTGGCAGGAGAAGCAATTAAAAGAAAGCAAATAGCAAGGGAGCTCTCCAGCCTGACAATATCTTTCCCCTCCACTAGTTGTAGACTCTTTTGAGTGGAATAGGAATGAATAATCTTCATTAGATGTGCTTACATTTGCCTTTTCTCCAGACAATCCAGTCCCCAGAGCTGGGGGCTGGACCACGATGGCAAATGAAGCCGAGCTCAGCCTGGCACGGGCAGGAAGAGGGGATGGGCAGGGAAAAGGCTGCCAGGGCTGCCCACCCTCCTGCAGCCCCTTATCAGCCCCCGCAGGAGCTGGGTGCTGCCAGCACTGCTCTGAGCACCGCCCAAGGGGTGCTGGCACCCACGGGGACGCTCTGGCACCATGGAATGGGAGCAGGGAAAGCAGCAAGGGGAGAGGGCACCCTGCAGGATGTGTGTGCTGGGGGCACTCGGAGCAGGTGGGAAGGGAGGTGGGAGTGAGGCCGCAGGGCAGCAGCAGTGAGGGCTGCTCCCATCCTGCTGTGCCTCAGGGAATGCCAGAGCCTTGGGGTCTGCATGTGGGATCACGGAATGGTGGAATGGGTTGGGATGGAGGGACCCCAAATCCCACCCAGTGCCACCCCTGCCATGGCAGGGACACCTCCCACTGTCCCCAGTGCCCAGCCTGGCCTTGGGCACTGCCAGGGATGCAGGGGCAGCCCCAGCTGCTCTGGGCACCCTGTGCCAGGGCCTGCCCACCCTGCCAGGGAACAATTCCTCATTGCCAAGATCCCACCCAGCCCTGCCCTCTGGCACTGGCAGCCATTCCCTGGGTGCTGTCCCTGCAGGCCTTGTCCCCAGCCCCTGTCCAGCTCTGCTGTCCTTTTCCCCCCCAGACACACTGCTGACAGGAGGAGACCTGCTCATCCTCACAGCTCCCTCCTTTCTGCCTGAAGCCCATGAACAATCACCACTTATATCTGCCATGAAGCCTATGAAAAGTCATTAAATACTTGGGGGTTTGGTGACTCTGTGCCTGCCCAGTCTCCCTGCAGGAAGAAAAAAACTTTGGAACTTGCTGTGAATCATCTTCTCTCCCTCTCAGTGTGTACCCTGCCAACAGAACAAAATGCCTCTTTCTTTGGGTGTCGTGACTGAGAAAGGGCACTTATGGGTCACGGAGGGCTTTTCACACCTTCCTGCGGGTCAGGGGCAGAGAGTGAGTGCCCAGAGGTGTGGGTGAGGCAGAGACAGAGCACAGTGCAACCTGCCTGCCACAAACCCTGCTTGGAACAGCTTTGCCCAGCATTTCCCCTTAGAAGTGGCACATCCTTTGGGCCAAGCATCGCTTCTGCCTCGTCATGCTGTGTTCAGATGTGCCTCCCATGCCAAGAACAAACCCTACCCAAAGAGCCCTGCTCTGCAGACACCCAGACCCACCCAAAACTCCCATCCAGGAAATTAAGTCCCTGCTCTTGGCAGAATGGGGCCCCCCCAATTGCAGAGTGGGCGGCGCAGGGTGGGAGGGATGTGAATAAACAAAGTCTGCTCGGGCCTTGATAGCAAAATGTTTATCTAAAACCTGCCCCCACCCAGCTGGCTGCTGGGCCTGTGTGACTCAGCTGATTTTGGGTAGGTTTTATGCCAGGGATGAGCCAGGCTAGATTAAAGTCTTCCATTTGTTTATCTTCCCCCTCGAAAAGCATGAATCCTCTCAGTTTCCCTTGTCTAGGAGAGACATGAAGGTTTTACGGTAAAATTCTGAGCAGTTATCTGTGCAAAGCCCCCGGTGTGACCCTGAGTGGCAGGACTCCATCAACCCCATATCTTCCCCCCCAAAAAACATGAATCCTCTCAATTTCCCTATTCTAGGAGAGACATGCAGGTTTAACAGAAAAATTCTGAGCAGTTCTCCGTGCAAAGCCCCCAGTGTGACCCCGGGGGTGGCAGGACTTTATCTTCCCCCCCAAAATACATGAATCCTCTCCATTTCCCTGCTCTAGGAGAGACATGCAGGTTTTACAGTAAAACTCTGAGCAGTTCTCCGTGCAAAGCCCCCGGTGTGACCCCGGACTCTACCAACCCCACATCCCGCAAGCACAATTTCCAGAGGGCAATCCCACAGGCACCACCGGACCCAGCCAGAAGGAAGGCAGGGGCATTTTCCACGCAGCCAGCCGTGCCCCCCAGCCCCGGCTGCCTCGAGGGACACACGAGCAGGCAGAGTTCACAGGATGAGCTTTATTTGGCTGTTAGAAGCGGTCGGGCAGCGGGTGCTGCGCGCTGCCGCGGCTCCTCAGTGGTACTTGCGGGCCAGGGCGTGGGCAACCACACGCACCAGCTTCTGCCAGGCAGCCTGGCACTCGGGAGTGAAGTCCTTGCCGAAGTGGGCGGCCAGGACGACGACCAGGATGTCACCCAGGAGCTGTGGGGACGAGAGCAGCCTCGGCTTAGCACAGCACCACACAAGCACTCACACTGCACCCAGGGAAACCTACAGGAAATCTGCAGCCTCAAAAACCTCCCCCAGTTAGTGCTTTCTAACCTGCACCTTAAACCTGGTCTCTGCTCTTGCTCTAAATCCTGCTACCGTAGCCAAAAATTCTCCAGAGTATTTTGGAGTAAATTTTTCTTTGTCCTTTCTGACTGCTCTCAAGCAGAAGACCCAGCTGAACTCCCAGCTCATCAGGACACAGCACTTGGCCCCACAGAGCACAAACAAGAACACAGAGGCATTTCTGTCAGCCCCAGCCCAGGGACAAATGGTGGGGTTAATTCCCCACTGAGGCACTCCCAGCCAAAGTTTTCTCTCTTTAGATCCTCTTTGACTCCTGGCATCCAGCTGCCATCTCCTGCTCCTCACTCATCATCTCTTTGTTCTCCTCTGTGCCAAACTTTGCTCTTGCTCCTTCTCTCTTCCCCCTTGGCTCTTCCTGCTCAACAACTGCTCTCACTTTGTTCTCCCCCTCCATTCCCTCACTGGAACCACATCCTCCCCTGCCCCCTGCCCACAGCCCCTGTCACCTCCCCCCGGGCTGCACTGGGTCCCTTCCCTGCCTGTCCCTCTGCACCTCACCCCATGCCAGCCCAGCCCCTCTCCCTCTGGCACTGCCCTGCTGGGCAAACCCCTCTCGTGGTGGGGATCAGGCTGGGGGCACCCCCTGCGCTGGGGAGGGCAGGCAGGGCAGGACTCACCCTGAAGTTCTCGGGGTCCACGTGCAGCTTGTCGCAGTGCAGCTCGGACAGCGCGGAGAAGGTGTTCTTGATGCCATCCAGGTTCTTGACGGCCTCCCCGAAGGAGGTCAGCACCTTCTTGCCGTGGGCCTGCACCTTGGGGTTGCCGACGATGGCGGTGGCACCGGACAGGTTCCCGAAGGAGGCAAAGAACCTCTGGGTCCAGGGGTAGACGATCAGCAGCCTGGGGAGAGACAGACAGACAGACAGGGTCACATCAGCGCTCCCATGGCTGGAGTTTCCCTCTGCAGGGGCAGTCTGGAGCTGCACCTACCTGGCCAGGGCCTCGCCGCCGCACTCGGCCACGTTGACCTTGCCCCAGAGGCCGGTGATGAGCTGCTTCTCCTCAGCTGTCCACTGCACCATGGTGTCGGCAGGAGGGCTGCGTGTCGCACGGAGGAACTCAGGCTCTGGCTCCCGGGGATCGCACGCTGGGGAGCCGCTGCCCGGCCCCGCTTTTATGGCCGCGCGGGGCCCCTCCTCTGCCCCCTGCACCCCGTCATTGGCCGCGCCCGGGGGCCCTGGCACGGGGAGGGGACCCTGCATCGCCCAGCGCAGGGTGGGGCCCAGGGCAAGGTGCCCGACCCAGCCAGCCCCGGCCGGCCTGGCCCGCCGCCCTCGCCGCCCCTGATTGCCAGCCCTGCTCAGAGGCCGTTATCTCCCACAGAGCCCAGCACGGCCCGGGCACCTTCTGCTGCAGCTCCTCTCTGAGGCAGGTGCCAGCCCTGGTGCCCCGTGGGTGTGCCAGCCCCTGGGGCAGGAGATGCCAACCTGGGGCTCCTGGGTTCTCCCTCTGAATGCACCAGGTTCTCCCTCTCCCCTTCCTGCAGCACCTGTCAGGCTTTGGCCTCCCTTTGCTTTCCCTTCAGCTCTTTAGGAGTTTGATTGACTTCAGGATGACACTGCAAAACCACGGCAAGGCCTCACAGCCAAGGGGAGCTCCTGTCTCCAAGAACCTCTTGGCAAAGGTCAGGCAGGGCTGGAAGGAGATGTTATAACCCAGGGCAAACCAGCTCCCTGTGGGCTCACAGGGCATGAGGAGAGGTGGGAACACTGGGATTACTGGGATCCCACACAACCCCCAAATCCCTGAGGCTGGCACAGCCCTGCCAGCCCATGCAGTGCCAGCTGTGCCCCATGGGCACCTTGTGCCCAGCCCAGAGCACTCAGTGCCACCTCCAGGGCACACCTGCAGGGATGGGCACTGCAAAGCTCCCTGGGCAGCCCCTGCCAAGGCCTGAGCTCCCTTTCCAGGAAGAAAAAACATCTGCACAGATAAACATCTTCCTTTCCAGGAAGAAAAAGCATGTGCACAGATGCGAGCCGACAGTGCCTGGCCCAGGGGCTCAGCAGCCCAAGGATCAGTGGTGCCCTGAGAGCTGGGAGAGGCACCTGGCTCTCTGCTCTTTTGCTCCTGTGCCCAGCTGAGGGGGTGCAGGAGGCAGGCATGGAGCTCACGGGGCACGGGAATGCCCTGCTGGGGTCTGCATGACCTTGGAGCACAGCATTTGTGTTTGTTCCTGCTCACTGCAGGCAGCAGGGGCTAGGCCAAAGGACCCTGGCCAGGCTGGGGGTGACACTGTTCCCTCTGCAGGCAGCGCTGCTGTTTCATGGAATCACAGAGCTCACACTGGGCTGGGCTGGAAAGGACCCAAAATCTCATCCAGTCCCATCCCCTGCCACAGGCAGGGACACCTTCCACTGTCCCAGGCTTTTTCCAAGTCACATCCAACCAAGTGTTGAGGGTTGTGTCTGTTACCTTCTGCCTTTGTTAACCTAAGAATCTTGGGGTTTTAAAAAACCCCAAGCAAACAAAACCCCACGTGCAGGAAGTTACAAGCCATGGCCCCAATCTCCCTGACACTTCTCCCACTGCACATTTCTGTACAGTTCTACTCCACTCACTCTGTGAAAGTTTTCAAACATTAAACCGAGCAATGTCACCTGATGTCTCCAAAAAGTGCCAGAGTGTTCCTGTTTGTATTTTCTGTTGGGTTTTTTTGGGTTTTGTCCTGAACACCCCCCTGGGATCTCCATCTGAGACAAGTTACACTTGCATGAAGGAGTCATGGCTCAGTTATCCCATTTGTGAGCATTGGCTCCCCCAGCCCCTGTCCTTCCTTCCCCGTTCCCATAAAGAAGCAGACATCTGCTGTTGGCTGGAGCAGCTGGTGTTTATTGGGTGCTTAGAGCCCAGCAGAACCCGAGGAGATTCCCCAGGAGCGTCTCCAGGAAGGGAGGCTCCTCAGTGGTACTCGTGGGCCAGGGCGTGGGCCACCACACGCACCAGCTTCTGCCAGGCAGCCTGGCACTCGGGGGTGAAGTCCTTGCCAAAGTGTCCGGCCAGCACCACGATGAGGATGTCACCCAGGAGCTGCGGGGAGGGAGCAGAGCTGTCAGTGGTGCTCCCCCAGACCCTCCCCAGCAGGATCTATCAATGGTGCTGCCCCCAGACCCTCCCCAGCAGGATCTATCAATGGTGCTGCCCCCAGACCCTCCCTAGCAGGAGCTGTCAGTGGTGCTCCCCCAGACCCTCCCCAGCAGGATCTATCAGTGGTGCTCCCCCAGACCCTCCCCAGCAGGATCTATCAATGGTGCTGCCCCCAGACCCTCCCCAGTGCTCCCTCTGCTCTCTGGGCAGCTCACAGCACAGCAAGGAGCAGATTGTCCTGGCCCCATCCATGCACCAGGCTCTCAGCACAGCTCAGGCTCTGGCCAAGAGGGACCCCTGGCTGTGCTGGAGCCTCCCCCAGCACCTTCCTGTGTCGGCTCTGCGGGGTCCTCCCTCCCTGGCTTCACGCTTTCCTTTCCCATCCCTCCCACCCTGCCTGTCCCTGGGCTCAGAACCCTCCTGCCAGAGCGGCTGTGCTTTTTTTCCCTTCTGGTTTACCCACTGCCTCACAGCCAAGCCCAGCTCTTCCCTCTGAACCCCATCTCAGCTCCTTCCCTGTGGCTGTTTCTTCTGAGCAGGGCACACTGCTCTGTGCATTTCTGCCTCCCCTCACAGACCCCAGCCCCAGAGCTCCTCTCTGCTCCCCCCAGGTATGACTCTCCTTTCCCCTCCTCTGCCCTACCCTCCACAGGCAGCCCCAGGGTTTCTCTCGAGGTCTCAGGGACTGTCAGACCCCTCTGAGCCCAGCCCCTGTGCCCAACCGAGGCTGGAGCTGAGATGGCTCACCCTGAAGTTCTCGGGGTCCACGTGCAGCTTGTCGCAGTGCAGTTTGCTTAGGGGAGCAAAGCACTTCTTGATGCCATCCAGGTTCTTGATGGCCTCCCCGAAGGAGGTCAGCACCTTCTTGCCATGGGCACGGACCATGGGGTTGCCAGTGACAGCAGTGGCGCTGGACAGGTTCCCAAAGGAGGCAAAGAACCTCTGGGTCCAGGGGTAGACGATCAGCAGCCTGGGGAGAGGTGGAGTGGCACAGACAGACACAGAAACATTGATATTCCAGTGACAGGAGTGATTCCCTGCAGTGCAGGGGCAGGAGTGACTCCAGGAGTGACTCCAGGAGTGTTTCCCTGCAGGGGCAGGTCAGGAGCTGCACTTACCTGGCCAGGGCCTCGGCGCCGCACTCGGCGACGTTGACCTTGCCCCAGAGGCAGGTGATGAGCTGCTTCTCCTCAGCTGTCCAGTTCACCATGGTGCTGGCAGAAGGTTGTCCGAGCTTCCCTGAACAATGCCGAGGACGTGGCTGCCGAGGCTGCCCCGGGGATTTTTATACACGGCTCAGGCTAATCTCAGTCCCCGGAGGCACTGCTTGGGGCTGGGGAGGGAGCGGGGCTGCACGAGGGGAGATAGTGGCTTTGGCAGCTGTCCAGGGGGGAGAGAGGCCCTGTCCCCCCTTTGTCTGTGCGGGGACGAGCATCACCTCAGGCCCGAGCGCAGGGGGAGCTGCCGGCCCGCTGGGGGCTCAGGGCTGCGTCCCTGCTGGGGAGCATCATCCCCTGTGCCCAGCGATCCTTCACGGGGCTTTGCACATGGCATCGTGGAATCCCACACCAGTCTGGGCTGGGAGGCTCCTTAAAGCCCATGGAGTGCCACCCCTGCCATGGCAGGGACACCTTCCACTGTCCCAGGCTGCTCCAGCCCAGCCCTGGGCACTGCCAGGGCAGCCACAGCTTCCCCAGGCACCCAGAGCCTCAGGGCACTCACCAGCTAAAAACGGGAGTTTAAACAACTCCCTGAGAAAGAATTCCAAGGGCTTTTTAATTTGAGGATTATGGAGCATGGAGAAATCTGAAGGAAGCATGCTGTGCTGGGCTGGCCCAGGGGCTGTTTGCAGCAGTGGCCGCTGGTCCCAGCACCGTGCACCATGAGGCCCTGAGGGGCTGAATCACCTGTCCCGGTGAGGCACACACAGCCCCAGGGGCTGCCAGGATGGCAGGGCGGGTGAGCCTGGTCAGGACTGCACCAGCTCTCAGCAGGCCTGCAGAGACCTGGCAAGGACCAAAGGCAAGCACAGCCCGGACAGTGCCAGCCTTGGGCTCGCCCTGGTGCTGCGTTCAATTTTATTAGAAAGAGTTAATTCTCAGTATGCTTGAAAATCCCCTGCTCTCTGCCTTGGGGGCAGCAGCCTACCTGGGAGATTTGGGAGCTCAGGGAGCTCTCTGGGACACAGGCTGGGAGGGGAAATGTTCATCTCAATGTGCTGAGCAGGGGCAATTTCTGTAGCTCTGTTTGAGTCTGCAGAATCAAAGGGACATCTCCTTCCCCCAGTGCAAGCCCAGCAGCACCTGACAGCTCATGCCCAGCTGGTGCCCAGACAGAAAAGCAGACCCTGCCCTCAGCCTGGGGTGGATTTCACTATGCTCAGGACCCTTCCCTCCTGCATCCTTCCAGGGCTGTTCCCTTTGGTGTGGATGGAAGATCTCTGAACTCCTGGAATCACAGGATCATGGAATGGTTAAGGTTGGAAGGGATGTTCAGGATATCTCATTCCACCCCCTTCTACTGGACCAGGTCCTGGCCACACACTTGCCCCCTTCCATGGACAAGGACCTTCCCTTTGGAGACAAACCATCCCAATGAGGGCCACAGGCAGCTCCAGTGAGGGCCCTCCTGCCCCAAGCAGAGTTCCTTGGTCCCTGATTGCAGCAGTGTCCCTGCCAAGCTTTACAGAGCCCTTATCAGCACAGTGGCATCCGTGCCCAGGCTCTGCTCTGGAGCCAGGCCAGCCTCCACGCTCCTCCAGAGAGTGCAGGGCCTTGTGTCTTATCCAGCAGGTCCTGAGGGTGTCTGTTCCTATTTTAAAATCCCAGAATTGTTCCAGGCCAGGCTGGATGGGGCTTGGAGCAGCTGCTCTGGGAGAATGTGTCCCTGACAGTGCAGGCAGCTGGAACTCGGGGATTATCCAACCCAAACCATTCCAGATTCCTTGAATCCATTGCTTTGGGTCTGTCTGTGGGATGTTCAAGAAGTCTCATCCAGACCTCTGAAATCTTCCAGTTATAGACTGATACTGGTCCATTGATCTGGGAGGGCTGGAGAGGGACTTCTTACATGGGGAGGCAGAAACAGGACAAGGGGGAATGGCTTCCACTGCCTGTGGGCAGAGATGTGAGATTGGCAGTGAGGAATTGTTGCCTGGCAGGGTGGGCAGGCCCTGGCACAGGTGCCCAGAGCAGCTGGGGCTGCCCCTGCATCCCTGGCAGTGCCCAAGGCCAGGCTGGACACTGGGACAGTGGGAGGTGTCCCTGCCATGGCAGGGGTGGACCTTGCCTGCCTGGCTGTGCAGGGTAGAGGGGTGAATGCACAGCCCTGCTCTACCAGGAGAAAGGCTGAATATTTATTCCTAAATCATGCAAAACACATCTTTCATCCTCCTAAAACACCAGCATGTCTCTCCTTGTTACTTTGTACGCTGTTCCTGGAAAAACATTGTTGAAACTGAGATGCTTACATAGAATCTTTCTATTCCACTGAAAATATGTACTTCATTAAGTCAAAATGAGTAAAAAAAGGCTCTAACCCATCTGTGTGAGAGCTGCCCTCATCCCCTGCTCTTGGGATCTTACACATTTCAGATACCAAACTCTGACCAAGATGCACCAGTCCTGCACCATCACTGATGCAGAAATGCTTTTGATCAACCTAATACATCAGTAGCAAACTGTGGAGGGGTAAATTCCTGCCTAATCAGTGAACCTCTATGAATTTATATGCTTGCAGGTATCCCAGGAGGAGAGGCCCAGGGCCCACGGGCAGCCACAGAGACACAGGACACAAAGAACTCCAGAAAATGAGGTTTTTATTGCCCGTTACAGACACGGGTGCCTCCCGAGGCCTCAGTGGTACTTGCGGGCCAGGGCGTGGGCCACCAGCCCCACCAGCTTCTGCCACGTGGCCTGGCAGGCGGGGGTGAAATCCTTGGTGAAGTGGGCGGCCAGGACGATGACCAGGATGTCACCCAGCAGCTGCAGGGGAAGGCAGGAGCGAAATGAGGTGAGTGCTGGGCAGCCCTGGCCCTGCACAGCACGGGGACCAGGGAGCTCAGCTGCCCCGTGGGTGCTGGGGCCGGGGCCCAGGGAGGCTCTGCCAGCTGCAGCACAAGAGCCCAGTGCTGGCCGTGGGCATGAGTGCCCACCTGCTCCAGCTCTGCCTCTTCCCACATTCTCCAGACACTAGACATTGTTCTGCCTTTCCTCCTTCTGCTGTGAAACCCCACACCCACTTCAGCTGAGGGTCAGTGCCAGGCCCACCTTCTACATCCCCAGAGCCAGGCTTAAACAGGGGCTGGAGCAGAGGCCAACATCGTGCTCCTTTCCTCCAGCCATGCCTGCACGAGCCCCAAGGCTTTCAGAGAATCCCCCTGCGTGTGTCACCACATTTGCCCTTGCAGCCCAGAGCCCAGTATTACCCTGCACCATGGAATTCCCAGCCTTGCCCTGGCCCCCAGCTCCCACTCCAGGCAGCCAGGTCCTGGTTGGTGACTACAACACAAGTGAGCGATGCCTGTTGGAAACCCCCCAGGCACTGAGGGGCTCTGAGGAAGGAGGGACAGAGAGCAAAGCTCCAAGCACAGCTCACCCTGAAGTTCTCGGGGTCCACGTGCAGCTTGTCACAGTGCAGCTCGGACAGCTTGGAGTAGGTGCCCTTGAGGTTGTCCAGGTTCTTGATGGCCTCCCCGAAGGAGGTCAGCACCTTCTTGCCGTGGGCACGCACCTTGGGGTTGCCGACGATGGCCGTGGGGCTGGACAGGTTGCCGAAGTCAGAGAAGAACCTCTGGGTCCAGGGGTAGACGATCAGCAGCCTGGGGAGAGACGCGGGCAGGTGAGGCTGCCGGAGCCGGGGCTGCCCCGCGGCGCAGGGCCCCGAGCGGCTGCACCCACCTGGCCAGGGCCTCGGCGCCGCATTCCTCCACATTGACCTTGGCCCACACGCCGCTGATGAGCTGCTTCTCCTCGGCCGACCAGTGCACCATGGTGGCTGCAGGGGCACGCTGGGCTGAGCCGAGCCCCAGCCCGGGCCGGGTTTTATGGCCTGGGCCAGCCCCGGGCCGGCCCCTGCAGCGGGGCCATTGGCTGGGACGGCCGGGGGTCCCCAACGGGGTCCCCTGCAGTGGTCACTCTGCACTGAGGTGTGGTCATTGAGGAGAGCCTGTGAGCCCCTTAACAGGCCAGGCCAGGACACAGAACCTCTTATCTCTCTCTGAGAGCCCTGGCTGCTCTTCACCACAGGCATGGACATTGCACCCATCCCTGAGCAGGCACAGACCCCTCTGAGAGGTGATTCAGAATCACAGAATTCTCTGCCTTGGAAACCACTTTACAGCTCTTTAAAGCTCTTGTTCTGCCCCTTCCCATGGCAAGAACACCTTCCACTATCCCAGGTTGCTCCAAGCCCTGTCTGGCCTTGCACACTTGCAGGGATGGTGCTGGTGAGGCAGAGGTTACCATGCTCTGACTGCTCCAGCTTGACCTTCATGCCCTGTAATCATAGAAACATGGACTATCCTGAGCTGGAAGGGACAGAATCCCAGGATCCCTGGGGCTGGAAAAGCCCTCCCAGCTCCAGGTTTCCAGCAATAGCTGTGTGGGATGCCAGGCTGGGCTGCACTGTGAACAGGCTCCTCTGCTCTGCCCACGAGTGTCCAGTGGGAGCCCTTCTGGGGTCTCTCCCTGCTGGGAGTGAAAGGCCTTGCACAAGGACAGCAGGACTCTGCCCTGTCACAGCCCCAGCAGCAGCATCCATTTCCACCAGGTCCAGCTCTGCTGGCAGGCTTTTGGCTGACTCTGGCTGACACCTGCACAGGTGTTTTCCTGGTCTCCAGGCCTCCAGTGAGGCTGTGCCCTGTGCTCAGGAAGGCAAAGCCAGGATGCTTGAGCTGTCAGGCATCCAGACACAACCTGGACATGGAATTGTTCCAGGCCAGGCTGGATGGGGGTTGGAGCAGCTGCTCTGGGAGAATGTGTCCCTGCCAGTGCAGGCAGCTGGAACTCGGGGATTATCCAACCCAAACCATTCCAGATTCCTTGAATCCATTGCTTTGGGTCTGTCTGTGGGATGTTCAAGAAGTCTCACCCAGACTTCTGAAATCTTCCAGTTACAGACTGATACTGGTCCATTGATCTGGGAAGGCTGGAGAGGGACTTACATGGGGAGGTAGACAAGGGATAAGGGGGAATGGCTTCCACTGCCTGTGGGCAGAGA